GAACAATTAGTTTGTGCATGGTGATTCTTGCATTCCCCTAAATGCCTAGGTACCAAAGGCAACATCTATAGCAACCGAGTACCCCCAATACCTTCCTGGAGCACTGGGCTCGCCCTGGCCCAGAGGAAAACTTGCCACCAACTTGCCCTTCCTAAAGCACCCGTTTCCGTGAAAGCCTCCCTGCCAACGTGCTGGGAGGCTCACTAAGCATGGGGTACGAGCAGTGCAAGAGGCTCAGTCCCAAGAACAAAAGCCTCGCGCCCACTCTCTAGGGGGCGCCCCGGGAGGCCTCCCGCCCGTCTGGCGGCCCAGCGCGGGTTACCGGGACTAGCGCGTTGAGTGCGGACGACACTTTATTTCGCTGCCTGCCTATGGCCAGCCCCCCGCGGGCAGGGTGAAGACACGGGTCGGAGGACCGCGGGGGAACCAGGGGCGGATGAGGGCAATCGCGAGGAGCGGCGGAAAAATCACCTTTTCCGGCTCCCTGGAGTCTCCCGGCCGCGGCCCTCAACACCAGGCCCCGGGTCCTCAGCGCCATCGCGACCAGGCAGGAGTCGCGGTGAAACGTCCCCCGCGCTCACGGCCGCCCAGGACGCGCCATCTTTGCTGAAGCGACCGGCTCGGCTACTCCGGAAGTAGACAACTAACTTCCGCCCTCACAGGCCAGGCGCCGCCACGGCGGCCTCCCTCGCGCAGCGGGGCGGAGCTAACAGAGGGGACAGTCAGTTCCGGCGAGGCGCAGGCTGCTCCCGCGCACAGCAGGTCCGGGGCCTACGAGGCAGGCGCCTTGCTGTGCAACCAGTAACCCCCCTGCTCGGCACAGCGTTCCCGCCATGGGATCGGCTATAGCCTTTGCATTCTCTCCGCTCAGGTTCGTGGAGGCAGATGGTAAAGGACAAAGCCCTGCCTAGTATAGCTCTGGATCACACCTTTATTACCTGGGCCAGAGATAAACTAAATCCCCATAGGTTTCAGAGTAGCAGCCATGTTAGTCTGTATTTGCAAAAAGAACAGGAGGACTTGTGGCACCTTAGAGACTAACCAATTTATTTGAGCATAAGCTTTCGTGAGCTACAGAAAGCTTAAGCTCAAATAAATTGGTTAGTCTCTAAGGTGCCACAAGTACTCCTGTTCTTTTTGTAAATCCCAATAGGATCAGTGGTCTCAGACCTTTTTACGCCGAAGATCCCGTTTTGAATTTGAGGGCAACCCAGGATCCACCCTGAGACCGCATCCCACTCCCTCCGAGACTGCCCCCCACTCTGTTACTTGTTCTTCCCCACCCTCACTTTCACCAGGTTGGGGCAAGGGTTCAGGAGGGACTGTGGGCTCTGGGCTTAAAGGTTTGCAGTGTGGGAGTGGGCTCTGGGCTGAGCCTGAGGCAAGGGGTTAGGGTGTAGGAGGGGGTGAAGGGAGCAAGCTCTGGGAGGGAGTTTGGGTGCAGGAGGGGGCTCCAGGCTGGGACAATGTGTTGGGCTGCAGGAGCGGGCTTGGGGTGCTGGTTCCATGACAGGACTGGGGTGCAGGAAGGAGTATGGGGTGCTGGCTCTGGGAGGGGGCTCAGGGCTGGGGGTGCGGCCTCCTGCCAGGAAGCACTGACATCAAGCAGCTCCTGGTCCGTGGCACAGCTAGGCTGCTACTAAGGTAGGCTCCCCACCTACCCTGGCACCACATAGCTCCTGGAAGGGACCTGGCTCTGCATGCTGCCCCTCTTTGCAAGCACCACCCCAGCAGCTCCCATTGGCCACAGCTCCCTGTTCCTGGCCAATGGGAGCTGCGGGGACGGTGCTTTTAGGCAGGAGCAGTGTATGGAGGGAGACCACACTGGCCACTTCTGGGAGCAGCGTGGGGCCAGGGCTGGCAGGAAGCCTGCCTTAGCCACAGCCCTGCTTTTCCGCCAGAGATCAACCAGTTGTTGACCATTGCTCTAGGAAAAGGCGAGTAAGTGAAATTTCCTGAATCCCTGCCATTTCTCCAGTAAGGAACCATAGAATTATAGAATATCAGGGTTGGAAGGGACCTCAGGAGGTCATCTAGTCCAACCCCCTGCTCAAAGCAGGACCAATCCCCAACTAAATCATCCCAGCCAGGGCTTTGTCAAGCCTGACCTTAAAAACTTCAAAGGAAGGAGATTCCACCACCTCCCTAGGTAACGCATTCCAGTGTTTCACCACCCTCCTAGTAAAAAAGTTTTTCCTAATATCCAACCTAACCCTCCGTCACTGCAACTTGAGACGATTACTCCTTGTTCTGTCATCAGCAACCACTGAGAACAGTCTAGATCCATCCTCTTTGGAACCCTCTTTCAGGTAGTTGAAAGCAGCTATCAAATCCCCCCTCATTCTTCTCTTCTGCAGACTAAAGAATCCCATCTATGCACAGGATGGGATGTCATCAAGAGCGTCTTTTATTTCCCCTTCCTTGCTAGTTAGGAGGAGGCTCATATTGAGTCAATTCGCTGAAAGGCTGGTTAGATACAATTTTAAAGTTACTTTTAATTTCTATCTGATTTTTTTAAAATTTACATTTAAAAAAATTTAAGTCAGATTTGTATATACTTGTCACTAATTCTTTATTTCTCGTTTTTCATGAAATCTGTTTACAGCTATACACTCCACAAGCATTAGCCTTACAGGCTAGCATTTAAATCTTCTTATCCTATCTTTAAAAACGGAGATAGAAATTACCTTAGCAGATGGAATATCTAAAATATATACAAGAGATATTTGGGGAAGACTGCGTGATAGTGCCGATCAAGAAAATCTTACTGTAGATTAACAGAGTAGGGAGTGATGCTCCACCACAGAGAACATTATTCTTGATTGAGTACTTTATATTTAAAAATTAGGCAATGAGAAATTCTATGTGGCCTTTGATAGAATCAAAAGCTATTTTGAAGTCTACAATCAGATAAAATTTCAGAACAGATTGATTCAAACTGGGATTTACCCAAGCACATTATGCCTTCTCAGCTCTGTGAGTGTGAGAGCTCAACTAAGGCCAAAATTAGAAAAGGAAGACAAGGTGACTCCACCAACATTTTCAGGAATTTCAAAGGGGATTAGATTAAGCAGAGATAACTGGCTCTTTTTGTTGTTGTTATTTTTAATAGTACTAACATAAAATAAAAATTAAAGGAGCTTGTATTTTCCCTCCAAGAGTTAACTACCCTATCACTTCTTTTTGGTCCACCAGTGGTTTTAACTTTTTTTTCCATTTACAGACCCCTCAAAATTTCAGATGGAGGTGCAAACCCTTTTTAAAATCTTAGATATAGTCTGCAGACCCCCAGGAATCTATGTACCACAGGTTGAAAACCACTGTTCTATACTGATTTAATTTTAGTTTTTCCCCAAACACAAACGATTCCTAAAATATTTCCATGGTCACTACTAAGATCTTGATTTCATAGACAACAAAAACAAGGTAATGGTGGTAAGCCCTTTGATCATATTAGGTTTGTAGATGGTCACAAACTAGAAGAGATTTGGGGCCAGACTTTGCACTAACAGGGAAAATAGATCATATTTCCCTGATGAAATCCAAAGCTGTTACACCAGTGTTCTGAGGTTGACCGAAATGCTGGGTAGCACTGTACATTTGGTTAACTCTGCAATTAGTTATCAAGCTAAAACAGTCTCATGGGGCTGTAGACTATAAACACTGAAAATCTGCGAAAACTGTACTGGATTACTTCTGAAGAAGATACTGGCTCTGCTCTACTCAACTCCAAGGTCACACCAAGCTCTAGGGAATTACCCCTACGCCCTACTGCCAAAATGCAAGACGACGTCGTCGTCTAGGTTTATGGCTACTAAAGCAGCCCCGCAGCTTCCTGCAATTAAACCCCCCCAAGCCTGGGGAGAACATTTGCGGTCTCCAGCGATCTCGGCGCTGGAGAAGGGGCGGGGATTGGAGGGACGACTCCGGCCTGGGACGGGCTGGCTGTCGGCGCGGCCCGGGCGGAAGTGGGGTTCCCGCGGCCCGGGACCCGCTGCAGGAGGCCGCGGAGCTAGTTTGCGGGCCTGTTTCCTCGGCGCCGGGCGAAGCCCAATGGAACACGCAGGACTGGGAGCGTCGGAGCACTCAGCACTAACCCCCGGGGCTGCGCCCTGCTGGGCCGGCCCCGCGTGTGTGTCGTAGGAGGGGGGGAGGTGCGCTGGGCCCCGCCCAGAGACAGGCGCTGAAGCTCGCTCGCTCGCGCCGTGCCGGGGCAGGGGCCGTCTCGGCAGCGGCTTCGCCCCTCTGAGGCGACGCTCCCTGCGCTGGGAATTCCCAGGCCAGCCCTGCAACCTCCTGGAAGGAGAAAAAAAACCAATGCTCCTAGCCCCGCCCCCTTTCCCAACATGCAACGTGACTCAGGGGGAAATTCAGAGAGCAGAGGCGTTGCTAACCCCAGAATCCAATCACCACCTTCAATCTAGGCACCTTCTGGGCCGCATTGCAACGGGCTGCTGGATTGGACAGAAGTGTTTAGCGTCATCGTGAGTCAGCGCCGTTCCTTTCTCTGCCCTGCCCTCTCCCCATCATGCACCGCGGTTAGGGGCCAGTTTCCCAGCAAGCCTTGCGGCGTCGCCGGCGCATTCTTCTGTAGCAGCGCGCGTGTCACTGTCTCTCCTCTCGGCGCGCGGGGAAGATGGAGATGGGGTCGCTGGCTGTGTTTGGGGAGCGGATTTCCGGGGAGGCGATCCGCGGCCAGAACGGTAATGGCAGCCCGAGCGCGGAGCGGGGCCCTGGCCGCCTGCCTCAGCGGCCGCCGCCATGTGCTGCCTCGGCAGGGGGGCGGGGTGTCCTGTAGTAGAGGAACCCGGGCTCGGGGAGGGGCCAGGCCCCGGCTCTCAAGCCCGCTTGTGTCTGCGGGACGGGGCGCGGCCTCAGTCCCTGTGAAGCCATCGTTACGTGCCTGAGCCCGTTGGGAGGGAGCGCGAGGCGCGGCCGGCCCCGCCCGCCCCGTGGCGCGCTCAGAGCTCGGCCCGGGGCGGTGGTTGCCGAGAAGCAGCTCGCGGCAGTCCACGGGCCCGTTACGTAGGGCCGCTTTCCCCGCGGCGGCCCCTGGGTGGTTGCGGCGCGGGGGCGCCCGCGTTCGCACCGACCAGCCGGGCGCGGGGCCGCTCGTGTCTTGCTGCTGTTCCTAGCCCGCTTCCCTTTGGGGCGCTAGGCAAACCCGAGCTCCTTGTTACGTGAATGGCCCCGGCCGCCATTTTTGACATGCCTTCAGCAGGCGAGACTTGGGGCGAAGCGGCGGGTGACTTATCCCGCGTGGGTCCCGTCCTGGGACAGGACTGCGGCTCGCTATGGGGAAATGGCCGAGAAATCGGTAATCGTGTGCCGTGAATGTTTACACTGTCACTGTGTCGTCTGAAGTGCCTGTGAACAACAGTGACCTCTCCAATCAAAATGTGCTTATCAACCCCCTAAGTATTTTTTTTATTTTAAAGGGAGAGGGTATTTATAGGAAGGAATTTAAAATAAAGGAAATGGGAATTTTTTTTTTAAAAGGGTTTGGAAAGAAAAAATGAGCTAGTTTACATAGCGCTCGGACCCGGCCTTTGCTTCCCCTCCCGGTTGGGTGGAACCCGCCTTGCTGAAATTGAGAATCTGCTGACACAAAAATATACTGCTCTTAAAATAGATATTTGCGAAGAAAGAATTATTGATTTTTATTTTGCTTGATTTATACAGTTATGGCTGCAGCTTCTATTGCTAACATTGTGAAGAGTTCTCTTGGTCCAGTTGGTTTGGATAAAATGTTAGTGGATGATATTGGTGTAAGTAAGCACGTCTTTCATTTGACTTTTAAGAAAAGGGCTTGCATAGTAACAAACCTACACTCTAAATTAGAGCTGGCACCTGTTCTGTTTCAGCTGAAGGCATGTCTGTTTTTGTAAAGTGTTTCTATCTAAAATGTGCTCCATGGCTCTAATATACATTTGGTAGTTTGACCTCTTTTTCCATTTTGTCATTAGGGATGTAAAATATTAAACGGTAAGCATTAGTCTTCCTGTTAACCCACCCTTAACCGTTAACCCCCAGCCCGTCTCCCTTTAATCAGGTAACTTGTTAAGCAGTATAATTTTAATTGTTTAAACGGTTAACTTTTTAAATATTTAAATCTCTATTTGTCTTTAGTTTATTTTTTTGAAGAAAGCCTTAATTGTAAACTATAGTTAACTGTTACTTCCTCCATGATGTGCTCCCTTATTTTATAACACAATTAACACTTGCTCATATGCAAGTACGTTTGAATTTCAATAAACGTTTTTTTCTCACATGGATACTTGTACTAACATTGTTTTGATTTATTCATTCTGTGTTCTATTCTAAACTTATTTTTGTGGTTGTTGACATGCATGTTGTTTTGTTTTACACGTATTAGAATTAGGTGCTGTTGTACATAATTTGCATTGGCTAATGTTTCTAATAAGATAGAATCACATCTCATTTTCAAATATTTAGACCAGGTGAGAATCTGATTTCTGTCTTTCTGCTGTGCTATCCTGAAAGCCAAAGTGAGATAGCATTATGTCATTGAGTGGTAACTGTGTAGTTAATAAAAGGTCGTAATATTGCACATTATCCTAAACTGAGATTTGTAAGTAACTGTATTTAAAATGCTTTATTAAAAATAGACAAAGATATTCAAGCTACATTTAAGAAATCTTCCTTAGTTCTTATTTATACAACATGAAGAATTCTACCATCTAAAAGCTCATGCAAATTCTTGTGCCCCAAGGTTCCCATCCTGCAACACATGGTTCACTGGGATTAGTTGTGTGTAGTTACATGTGTATAGATATAGTATTGAAGAGTTGACTTAAAAAGACAAAGTAAACTCTTAAGGTAAATGGTCGATGTACACAATGTTACATGAAGCATAGTTCTTCCCCACTATTCGCATTAAAATGTCTTCTCATATATTACAGTTTCATAAAGTTTAAAAATAAATTAGCATGAATATCAATCTTTTATTTGCTATTTTTTGAAAACTAGGATGTGACCATTACTAATGATGGTGCAACCATTCTGAAGCTGTTGGAGGTAGAACATCCTGCTGCAAAAGTTCTATGTGAGCTGGCAGAACTTCAAGACAAAGAAGTTGGAGATGGGACCACCTCAGTGGTATGTAGAAAGTTTTACAGGCAGACGTGTTGAAAGTCAGTAACAAATGTAGCTTTTGGCATATCATTATAAATGTTGGCACTGTAGGGATTAAATCTGGACCATTTCATCATGTGACGACAGATTTCAAATGCATCTGCCCAGTGCAAACTATGAAAATTGCTTTGAAACAGTTCCTGGAACCGGAGTAATGAGGGAGACCACTGTAAAAACAAAAAACCTAGCATCTCTATGCATGCTTGCATTCTGGAAGAGGGTTATTCTTTACTTAGTGCCTGCAATTTGAGAATGATCATTCCTTCCCTTCCCGAAGTTATATTTGAGAGTAGCTTCTGGGTTGAAGAAGTTCTTAATTCTCAACCCCTGAGAAAAAATTAAAACGTAGGTGGACTGATGGATGGACTAGAATCAGCTGATTCCAGACAACTCATATCAGTAGAGCCCCAAAATCAGTTCAGAGTTAACTAGTGAAATGGAAAGTTAGAATTAGAATTGTTTTGCTCATTAATTAATCTAAATGATGGGAAACATTTCATATTTGTCACTTATTTGTTCGTTGGAGCAAGAGCTACTGCTTATATTAAGACTTGCCCGTTTTCTCAGTGACTCTTTTTCCTCTTTTCAAACAGGTAATTATTGCTGCTGAACTTCTAAAAAATGCAGATGAATTGGTCAAGCAGAAAATTCATCCCACCTCTGTTATTGGTGGCTATCGTCTTGCTTGCAAGTAAGATACAAATATTTCCGCTGAAATAGATTATTTTGCAACTCTTGTGTTTCATTATATCCAGTGAACACTTATTTTACCTTAATCCTGTATTCATTATTGCCGACAATACAGGATATTTTTCTTGAGAAGACTTGTGGTGGTTTGTCAACTTGGTTCTAACTCTGCGTTTAGTCTGCATGTCCCCACAGTAGGAAATGTTCCTTACAAGGAATAGAGAGAAAATTGTTCTTGAAATGTTGGTTTTTATTCAACAGGGAGGCAGTTCGCTACATCAATGAAAATCTTATTATTAACACAGATGAACTTGGCCGGGAGTGTCTTATTAATTCAGCTAAAACATCAATGTCCTCCAAAATCATAGGAATGTATCCTTTGACTTGGTAATAATAAATTGGAATCTTAATTTTACAAAAATAAGGGATATTATTGTGGAGAGCTTGAGTATCCACTGTAAAGCCCATGGCAGCAGTTCTTAGTTCTTATCCTTTTTCATTCTAAACCCTTCTTTTAAGAGTTATAACTCCGTTGTGAAAACTTGTTCTTGGTATCAACTTGGCATAAAAGGTGTATTCTGGTTTACTAAACCAAACCCTGCTCGTTTAAAGGACAATTGCAACAAGTTTTTAAATCTCACACTTACAAACCATTTTCCTCTTTTGGTATCACATTTTGTTTAAACCCTTAATCCTTAAACACAAGCTACAATTGACCACCCCCTTAGATGCTGAAATTGTAGCTGTTTTCTCTGACAGAAGCTGCCATACCCAGAGGCTTGAAGGAGCTGTTCTAATCTAAACAGCTGTTTTGATCCCCCTAATAGTTGTAGAAAACACAATGATGTGCTGTGCCCCTTGCCTATATTTTTTCTTGTTTTTACCAATCTTTTATGTTTCTTTAAAAACAATACTCTGGTTAGTTTGCCTGTTCTTTTTTTAGTATAATGGCTAAAAAAATGCTCTTTCTGCCACTTACTACATAACCCTTTTCTCCTTCCTGGGGCTGCCCAGGTGTTTTGCCCCTGTGGAACCCACTCTGACTCAGTTCACGTTCCACCCTAGCCAACATATAACTTATATTTTGCATTAGATGGAGGAAAAAAATTAAAAGCATCCAAGCAGATGATCAGCCACACTAATCCCAAGAGTGTCTCCATTATTCCAGGCAACATTCCTTCTTGCAGTCTGTCTTCCCACTGTAGTTCAGTGATCGTTACGTATTTATGGCATCCATTTGTTTCCTTTGAAAAACTGTTCTCTAATTCAGGATTCTGATGTGACTGGGATAAAGCGGGCAAAAATAGGCTGTGTGTGTGCACGTACTTGTGTAAACAGTAGCAAAATGTTGTGATTGTGAAAACATGAAATAATTTGATATTTGGACAAAACATTTAAACTCTGTCCTAGTTCCTTCTATCTGTAAAATGAGATTAATAATTATTTTACCTCATAGGTGCTTCAAGGATTATTTTAAAGGCATGTTAATATAAAGCAGCCTATAAATGCTGTTTTTAGGATTAAAATGAATTTATATTATGCTAGTTGTCTCTGTTTAGCTCATTTTAGCCTTAACGGTATTCTAGTGATGGTGACTTCTTTGCCAACATGGTGGTGGATGCTGTGCTTGCAGTTAAATTCACAGATCAAAAGGGTCAAGCCAAATATCCAATCAGTTCCATTAACGTTTTGAAGGCACATGGCCGTAGCCAGAAAGAGAGTATTCTTGTAAACGGCTATGCACTGAACTGTGTGGTGGGCTCACAAGGTAAGCTCAGATTTTGTTTTATAAGCCTTCAGTGAGCAGAATGACTGAAGTTTGTTTAGGAATATGCTCTTATGTGGATGTTTCTAGTGATGTAAAGAATTGGCTAATAAGCTATTGTTCGTTCAGAAAAATTAAAAACAACCCTTGAAACAACAAAGTAAATGAAAACATTCTTAAATAAAACCAAACCCTACACTAACCAGTGGGTTTTTTGCCCCAAAAGTGAGAAGTCACAGACTCCGTGAAGTCCACAGGCTTTGCTGCTGTTGATGTTCTGAAAGGAACTCGGGTATTGCAGTGAGGCACCACTGTATAAAACCCAAAAAGAAAAATTATGGTGGTTGCTTTACTATGCTACATTGTAGTTCAGTTGTGGCATCATGTGGATGATAATTCCCATTTTACATGGTCTTACAATTACATGTTAAATATTTGTGTCATTGAAACACTGTCCTGGTTCCCCAGTTGAAGGTTGTGTTTTTCTGAAACTTTGTAAAATTACTCTAGCAATTTAAATCCAATAAATAATGTACTAGTTTCTAACTACCCATCTCTAGAAAAATAGCAGACGCATAGGTCCAAATTCTCCCTACAAACTCATGGGCAGCTATTAAGGACTTCAGTGAAACTTGCATTCATGTCTGAAGTCAATATTTGGCTTTGAAATCTTGTCTCAATAAGGATTTTTTAAATGAGATCTACGATCATATAGATTTTTAATTGTTTAGTCTGTTCACTGTCACTTTCTTGCACTTGAATGATGGAAATAAGCCAATCGCTTATCTGGTGCTTAATCAGTGCCTAATAGATCTCAGGTTATCAGGTACGTACAATACTTATGTTTGGAATGTATACATCGCAGTAGACTGTTTAAAAACTTGCAGTTTAAGAGAGACTCAGGGAACTATTTCTATTGCCCATAAGGTTTTAAAAGCTTATTTTTTAAGTCTAAATTTGTGCAGTCTTTGACAGGAATGTCTCGTTTATTACATCATTTACTGTGCAGCACTCTGCAGATGTCAAGAAACCACATCGGCAGGTAAAACTCATGAGGCTTCAGTTGTCAGTGTTAAAGGAACGTGCATTTAAATGACACAATCTGGAATACAGCACAGGCTGCTGTTCATTTGGTAGTGGAGGGGAGGTTCATTGTAATGCTCAGCTTCTCTAGCAAATAAGTGAGCAACAATAAATGTCACCCAAAGGAGTTCCATCCAGCCCTCCTTGGCCTGAGGATTGTTGACTGCAGTGCAAGGCCTCAAAGGTGGACAGTGTAAAAGCAAGGAAATTGGCTACTGTCACTAGAATTAGGTTACTGTATTTTGACATGTTCAGCTCTGTTAAAATCAACATGTTCTTATTATCCCTTACTGGGAATGTACTAGGTCCCTGCTAAATATATCCGAGTTCTCTGTAGATTTACATAGTGATTACACTGGATACCAAAGGGTCAGTTTCATTACCTGTGGTACTAATACATCTTGAACTTCTAGCTCACCAATGTCACAAACTGGCAAGCAAGGAGTCATGGAAAGGTGCTCCTCTGTGTCTTCGTATGAAGTGGTAAATTAAGAAAGCAGCTAAGGTTATGTCTGCATATTGAAGAATGTCTCACTACCCTTTTTGTTGTTCTTGTCATAACATTTTCCCAAGTGTGTTTGTGAAAAGAGTTGCAGGAAAAAAAGCAGCCTTAGATGGGTAATTGTGTGTGTGTGTATTAGAAATCTAAAAAGTAAAATACACCACAACTATTTTTGCTTTATTAAGCATTTTTAATTAAAACTTACTTGTAACAACATTGAATAAAATACCATTTTTATATAGGTATGACCAAGAGGATAGTTAATGCAAAGATTGCCTGTCTTGACTTCAGTCTGCAGAAAACAAAAATGAAGCTTGGTGTTCAGGTGGTGATCACAGATCCGGAGAAACTGGACCAGATTAGACAGAGGTAGCACATTTTCAAACTAATTTTGGTATTTTTTAATTATGTACTGGGTTTCTGGGTATTCTGAAGAGTGTAATAGACAACAAAATTAACTACAAAGGTAAGTAACACATCTTAATATAAAATACTGGTGGAAAACATTGATCATAACTATTGATTAAAATGTATTTGGATAATCTGTATTCAGTTGAACTGTATACTTATATTGAATTTAGGGCTGTCAAGCAATTAAAAAAATTAATCGTGATTAATCGCGCTGTTAAGCAATAGAATACCATTTATTTTAAATATTTTGGATGTTTACTACATTTTCAAATATATTAATTTCAATTACAACACAGAATACAAAGTGTACAGTGCTCACTTTATATTATTACAAATATTTGCACTGTAAAAAAACATATTTTTCAATTCACCTCATACAAGTACTGTAGTGCAATCTCTTTATCATGAAAGTTGAACTTACAAATGTAGAATTGTATACCAAAAAAACTATATTCAAAAACCAAACAATCTAAAACTTTAGAGCCTACAAGTCCACTCAGTCCTACTTCTTGGTCAGCCAATCACTCGGACAAACAAGGTTGGTTACAATTTGCAGGAGATAATGCTGCCAGCTTCTTGTTTACAATGTCACCTGAAAGTGAGAACAGGCATTTGCATGGCACTGTTGTAGCTGGCATTGCAAGATATTTATGTGCCAGATGCGCTAAAGATTCATATGTCCCTTCAAGCTTCAGTCGCCATTCCAGAGGACATGCTTCCATGCTGATGATGGATTCTGCTTGATAATGATCCAAAGCAGTGCAGACTGATGCACGTTCATTTTCATCATCTGAGTCAGATGCCACTAGCAGAAGGTTGATTTTCTTTTTTGGTGGTTTGGGTTCTGTAGTTTCCGCATCAGAGTGTTGCTCTTCTAAGACTTCTGAAAGCATGCTCCACACCTCGTCCCTCTCAGATTTTTGGAAGGCACTTGTCATAAATATAAAGGGAAGGGTAAATCCCTTTGAAATCCCTCCTGGCCAGGGGAAAGCTCCTCTCACCTGTAAAGGGTTAAGAAGCTAAAGGTAACCTCGCTGGAACCTGACCAAAATGACCAATGAGGAGACAAGATACTTTCAAAAGCTGGGAGGAGGGAGAGAAACAAAGGGTCTGTGGGTCTGTCTATATGCTGGTTTCTGCCGGGGATAGACCAGGAATGGAGTCTTAGAACTTTTAGTAAGTAATCTAGCTAGGTATGTGTTAGATTATGATTTCTTTAAATGGCTGAGAAAAGAATTGTGCTGAATAGAATAACTATTTCTGTCTGTGTATCTTTTATTGTAACTTAAGGTTTTGCCTAGAGGGGTTCTCTGTTTTTGAATCTAATTACCCTGTAAGATATCTACCATCCTGATTTTACAGGGGGGATTTCTTTATTTCTATTTACTTCTATTTTTATTAAAAGTCTTCTTGTAAGAAAACTGAATGCTTTTTCATTGTTCTCAGATCCAAGGGTTTGGGTCTGTGGTCACCTAGGCAAATTGGTGAGGCTTTTTACCAAACCTTGTCCAGGAAGTGGGGTGCAAGGTTTTGGGAAGTATTTTGGGGGGGAAAGACGCGTCCAAACAGCTCTTCCCCAGTAACCAGTATTAGTTTGGTGGTGGTAGCGGCCAATCCAAGGACGACGGGTGGAATATTTTGTACCTTGGGGAAGTTTTGACCTAAGCTGGTAAAGATAAGCTTAGGAGGTTTTTCATGCGGGTCTCCACATCTGTACTCTAGAGTTCAGGGTGAGGGAGGAACCTTGACAGCACTTCAGATTCTTAAACCTTGGGTTGAGTGCTGTAGCTATTTTTAGAAATCTCACATTGGTACCTTCTTGGCGTTTTATCAAACCTGCTGTGAAAAGTGTTCTTGAAACGAACATGTGCTGGGTCATCATCCGAGACTGCTATAACATGAGATATATGCAGAATGTCGGTAAAACAGAGGAGGAGACATACAATTCTCCCCCAAAGAGTACAGCCACAGATTTAATTGATACATTATTTTTTAAATGAGCATCATCAGCATGGAAGCATGTCCTGTGGAATGGTGGCCGAAGCATGGAAGGGGCATACGAATGTTTAGCATATCTGGCATGTAAATACCTTGCAACGCTGGCTACAAAAGTGCCATGTGAATGCCTGCTCTCACTTTCAGGTGACATTGTAAACAAGAAGCAGGCAGCAGTATTGCCCATCAATGTAAACAAACTTGTTTGTCTTAACAATTGGCAGAATAAGAAGTAGGACTGAGTGACTTGTAGACTCTGAAATTTTACAGGTTTTTTTTTTGTTTTTGAGTGCAGTTATGTGACCAAAAAAATCTGCATTTGTAAGTTACTTTCACAATAAAGAGATTGCACTTCAGTACTTGTATGAGGTGAATTGAAAAATACTGTCTTTTTTGTTTATCGTTTTTTACAGTGCATATATATGTAAACAAAAATAATATAAAGTGAGCACTGTGCACTCTGTATTCTGTGTTGTAATTGAAATCAATATTGAAAATATAGACAAACATCCAAAAATGTTTAATAAGTTTCAATTGGTATTCTTGTTACAAGTGCGATTAATCCTGATTTATTTTTTGAGTTAATTACGAGTTAACACTAATTGACAGCCCTCATTGAATTATGAAGCAAAAAAGTTACATTACTTAGAACCAAAGATTGGATTGATTTATATCAGCAAGCAGAAAACTTTGATTTAAATAATTGATTTACATTGTTTTATGTTTGTACTTTTCATTTTCCTAAAGAAAGATTTGATTCTTATTGGTTGGTGGCTATTAGAATATAGCCTGTACACTGTGTTTAGCAATTTTTGCTAACCAGGTGGGTACACTGAGTCTATGCCTAAGCAATTATCTATCTTACACCTACATTAATTCAGATTCTTAATTTTTTAATTTTAATATATCAGAAAATGGTGCATGATGCATTTAAGACTTTATTTTTACTTGTAATTTGTGTCGGTGCATTTGGATGGAAACTGAAATTCAATTAAAATGCACAAACAGAATTGTAAAGTCTTTTTTATTCATAAAAAAAAGATCAAAACATGTTTTGAATTTAAAACTGATTTATTAAACAAAGGAAATTGAACTGATTATTTCTGCCCACCAAGTCCGTTGGTATTTTAGAATGAGTAGATCTCATCCTCTTGAACACAGTTTTATTCCTAGATTGTGAGAGGAAACAAGACTTCATGCTTTTTCAACTTCCAATCATTTTCTTAACTTTTTAATGTACTAGTTATTGAAAAAACTGAAATGAATAAAATATTCTCTCTGAGTCTATGGAAGGGGTTACTGCTGTCAAAAACTCATTCAGCACTTCAAACTCTAGTGTGTAGCCAGTGTTATCCACGAGTTCAGTGGTTAGACTTTCTTTGAAACTTAGGCAGCAACATTCCTTAATACTTTTTATTTAATTTAAATTACAGTAAATGTAGGTCTTAACGTAGATTATTGTAATTTCAAATCTCATTTCAAATAGGCTTAATTTTAAAAATAGAAATATTTTTTGTATTTAATTTTTTATCCACCCTGACATATATTCATGTGATGGTTCCTTTTCTCCCTGGAGATCTTAGCTTTGCACTGCTGGTAATTATTCAGATGTTTGTGTATGGTTTAGCCATTCAGTTGATGATTTTTAATCCCACTTTCATAATTTTTGGTTATAAGTAAACACGTGCCCATTATCTTTTGCAGAGAGTCCGATATCACTAAAGAGAGGATTCAGAAGATTCTGGCCACAGGTGCCAATGTTGTTCTAACCACTGGTAGCATTGATGATATGTGTCTGAAATATTTTGTGGATGCTGGTGCTATGGCAGTACGCAGAGTTTTAAAAAAGGACCTTAAACGCATTGCTAAAGCAGCAGGAGGTATGTATATATTGTGATTTTGGTCGTAGTATACGTTTTTAGTTCTATATAGTGTTTCCAAAGCTGTTATTAAGCAGTAGTTGGTCAGTTCCCTGAGTATTATTGGGCTGATCCACATATAGAGTGATAAGGAAGTATGCTTGGAATAGAAAACATTCAGATGCTACAATGCCCTGACAGGGAGCACCTCACTAAGTAAAGAGGAGCCACTGAAAAATTGTGACTGCAGAAAATGTACAGTGAGGGGAGATGTTCACTGACACAGGGAAGGCTCTGTTATGCCAGGGCACACAACCAGACTATATTTTATCTAGAAATGGGGATTATGGAAGTCTGGTTAATCTAATCTCCAACTTCCTGTAGTAATTGAAATTTTTTTCTTAAAATTCAGAGTCTGTAGTATAAAATTATTCAATCCAAAAATGCATTTTATAAAGATCATCTAAAAGAGATTTTGATAGTTCAAGTCTTCTTAGAACCGTGCAGAACAAACAGTGTGTAATTTGTTTTTAGCAGCCATGTGAAAACTTCAATTAATACAGAATAGGTGCTGTAAAGATCAAGTAAAAATGAACCCAGAGAGACTAAGGGGGACTATAAAATACAGAAACGGATTTAAAAGTAAGGTAGGGCCTATAGGACTACTTAATCCAGCCAGCACTGCAGGGAAATAGAAATGTTCAATCTTGCATTTATGTTTAATGTTAAGGAATACTGATGAATACTACCATTCTGTTTGCCCTGTAAACCTAAAACCATTTGTTCTGTGAGTTTGATAAATAACAATGAGTTGGTGTTGTCCACACTGATTTCACAATTTTGTTTGCTTTTTATTTTAAAGCAATCATTTGTTCCACTCTGGCTAATCTGGAAGGTGAAGAAAGCTTTGAGGCATCAATGCTGGGACAGGCAGAAGAGGTGGTGCAAGAGAGAATTTGTGATGATGAACTGATTTTAATAAAAAAGTAAGGACTTTTGTAGGGTTCTAGAGTTCATCATGCCTTGGAAACATGTTTTGCTAAATCTTTAGATAAACTTCCCATTTATTTACTGCTATGCAATCTCAATGCTATGAGCAGTTATACGCGTGGGATAGAGTATAGTAAGGCCATTGTAAATTTGTGATGAAACAACCAATGTTTCACCATTATTGCTAGGGCCAGACATCCTTCTCAATCATACCAGTTACAAGCTATAAGCCTGTCCTGTTGTTGTGTAGTTGACATAAAGAATGTCTTTGTTAAATAGCTTATCTATAACTATAGAAATTACTTTTCTAAACACTGATGTGTGAAAGTATAGAGAAAATCCAATCGGAACGGTGTAACTGTATGATGATCAGCTTCACTAGTGATTATAGTGACAGAGGTGTGGTTATGTCTTCTGTGACACTACCTAGATTTGAAAATGCTGTATACTGAAGTTTGATTAAAACTAGCTCTGTGTAACCTTTTTGGTGCTGATTTAAACCCATTTAATGGCAGGAATTCATATTAAATTGTCACGTGACTATCAAGAACAGCAATTCTTAACTCAGTGCATTTTTCCTTTTCCCTTTTATGATTTTGGTATGCCATGGTGATGATATGAATGCAAACTTGTTGGTGCCTTGATCTGCCTCATCATAAAACATGTTGACACACTTAATCGGTTTCCCATGTTTTCTGGTGTGATCCCCTGGTTTCAGTTTCATGAGACTAAAAGACATTCTCCAAGATGTTGAGTTGATACCTCTAACCATATCACTTTCTGCAGCTGCCTGACTACCTGTTGCTGTACTGATGGCAGTTACAGGCACTAAGTTTGTACGTTGAATAAAGAAATCCAGCAATGGTACTGAGGGGAATCTAGCAGAGGAATTGAGAGGCTGGAAAAAACAAACGTGCTATCTAAAATCTCTAGTGGCAATAAATGTGTGTTTAAAATGGATATGTTTCCATTAATGGTAATTTTTATCTCACTCCCATTGTGTGGAAATGCCTTGCCTTTCTTGCTGAGGGGTAAAGAATTTTCTGATAGGGTGAGCAAATTAAAATGCATTAGCCAGCATAGAATATCTGGGATTGTCTGAGAGGGGTTAGTGTGAACTGAAGGGTTACCCACAGATGTCACAAGAGATAATATAACCCCTTTAGGATTAAATGTTTGAGGAACTTAGCTGTAGCAATGAGATAGTAAAGTATCAAAGCTCTTTCTCCAGAAGAGTTTTTCTGATCAGCGTGAAGTTAACTGACTTTTCCTCATTTTTTGGACAGTACCAAGGCTCGTACTTCTGCATCAATTATTTTACGAGGAGCCAATGACTTCATGTGTGATGAAATGGAGAGATCCTTACACGATGCTCTTTGTGTAGTTAAAAGAGTATTGGAGTCCAAGTCTGTGGTACCAGGTGGTGGTGCTGTAGAGGCAGCCCTTTCAATATATCTTGAAAATTATGCAACCAGCATGGTAAGTGCAGTTCACAAAATAAGTGTTTCATTGCATAACACTAAAACTTCTTGCTGTGGTGGTTATAATGCAGAACTTGGCTTTTAAGTGCTTTGAGCTTTGTTCTGCCAGATCTTGGGAGCATCTGTTTTAATACACCAAAATATTAACTTCAGTTTTCAAAACAATTAAGAAATAACCTTGAGCTGGGAACAGAACAGTTCTTCCTCTCCCTACATCTATTTTCCCCCTGTATTGTTCATAATCAATATAGATTGTAAGTGTCTACCTGCCTGTGGCGGTCTAAAATTATGGCTGCATTTTTCCTCTTGTATTGCATGAATTGGCTTGATGGGTTTCAAAGTAAATAACTCTTCCTCCCTCTCATTTAGGGATCACGTGAACAGCTTGCTATTGCAGAATTTGCACGGTCTCTCTTAATTATTCCAAATACCTTAGCAGTAAATGCTGCCCAGGATGCCACAGATCTTGTTGCGAAGCTGAGAGCATTTCACAATGAAGCTCAAGTGAACCCAGAACGCAAAAATCTGAAATGGCAAGTATCCATTAATAGAAGTGAAAGGGGGCTACATTTAAATGCAGGGCTGTCTTAGGAGTTTTGTAAATATTGACTGCTTGTGGAGAAGTTCTGTTACAAAATATAGTGTAAATTTACTTTTCTCTGCATTTCTGTTTTTCTCCTGTTGTGTACTTTAGCTGCTCCTCTTGATCATAATTTAGGAACTCTGACCTTGCTCTGGGAAACTTTTTTTTTTATTTTCCTTCAGATAAGCATACTGGTAATCCTCAGAAGTTTATGTTCTAACTTCAGCCAAATTATGTGCATTACCATAGTGCCTAGCACCTATGTGCTACCCAACAAATTAGACTTGTCTAATCCATTTCTTGTTTGCAGGATTGGTCTTGATTTAATCAATGGGAAACCTCGTGATAACAAACAAGCTGGTGTGTTTGAGCCTACTGTAGTCAAAGTAAAGAGCTTGAAATTTGCAACAGAAGCTGCAATTACTATTCTACGAATTGATGATCTTATTAAGTTGCATCCTGAAAGCAAAGATGATAGAGGCGGGTGTTACGAAGATGCTGTTCGTTCTGGAGCACTTGAGAATTAGTCTGGCTTTTATTTATGTTACTGTTTAATTGTTCATCTTACACTTCTTCCCAGTATTGTACCTAGAGTGTATGTTAATAAAATGGGGATAGTTACAAGAGAACTTGCTGTCAAGTTTGTGTTCTTTATTCACCACAGTAAGTCCAGGGCTGAGAGGTAGAGTTTAGGGTGGTAAGTATATTTCTCTCATCCTCCTGGCTAACAGTCATTGAAGTAATTAACAACTTCAGTCATTGTCTAAATTGTGAACTTAGTTTTTAATAAGTGAATTAAGTTAATACTATAGCTTTATTAGCAAGCTGAAACCACTCTACAGGGTTATACATTAGCAGTGAGAAGAGACTGAACTATGTTAACCTTTCAATGCACATAGCTATTCCCATCCCCCCTCCTATACAAAGAGCAGCAACACCACGTTTTCCAGCTGTTCGTTCCAGTGCATACAGAAGAGTAACAAGGATACGACAACCAGAGGCGCCCAGAGGATGACCAAGGGCAACAGCCCCACCTTCAATATTAACCTGAAAAATAAAGTCAGCCTTATTTGTCTTGTAATAATTAATAAGAAAGAGGCAAGGTAGGTGAGGGACTCATTTATTGGCTTAACTTGAATTGGTGGAAGGTAAACTTTGGGCCAATAAAAGAGTCCCTCACCTACCTTGTCTCTCACATAACCTGGGACCAACATGGCTCTACCACTACTGCAAATAAGAAATAAACATCCTTCCAATAAATCGAGAGTGCTTAATGACTGGTAGTTCAGGCTTTGTTTCCTGAAACACTTCCATTAGCCCTTCCCTCATTCTTGAGGTATTTTCTGGACATATGTGGCACTACATGAAAGAAAACCGTTACTGTCAGGTGTTTAGACCAGTTTGACTACTACAAAACTAGTGAGGACTTTCCTTTTAGTTCCAGCAAACACCATCCTTATACTTAATGGTCTTACTTCACCTCTGACAATGGTTTACAGAGTGCCTTCAGTTCTCAAATGATGCCCTGAATTACATCAGTACATCTGTGTATCCAAGTTACCTCTGCAAAGGAAACAGGTCTTCAAACTCAGTTTTTTAGGTGTAGGTACTGATGCTATCTAGAATTACCTAAAGATTCGCACTGAAACTGAGCAGTATGTAGACTATCAGCATAACTGTTACAGGAATTATCCAAACTTTCTAAGATGATAGCATACATCTGCTGTAGCAGTAAAGTTCATGAAAGTAAAATTAAGGGCCACTGTATGCTTTAAAAGTAGAGTGGTTCTCAAACTTTTGATCTAGTGACCCCTCATAAATTAAAAACACTTTTATATATTTAATGCAATTATGAATGCTAGAGGCAAAGCAGAGTTTGAGGGGGAGGCTGACAGCTCACAAACACCTCCCCCCCATATAATAACCTCATTGACCCCCTGAGGGGTTCCAACCCCCAGTTTGAGAACCTCAGCTTTAGTACAATGTTTGCTAGAGAACCAGATTCAGTTCACAACAGAGCTAGTTCGCCTGTTAGTGAAGTAAAGACAACTCCCTTACCCCACATCCTCAGCATAATGCCTCTGCTGTCAGTTCAGTCGCTTGTCGTTAAAGCAAAATTATATCTGGGCTGTACATGGAGCTTAGTTTGGACAGCATATTCAATACAGGCACTAGGGAAGTATTTAATTCTCTCCTAAAAAAGGAAGAAGAAACTAACCCAAATCATTGCTTTTATAAAGAACTGGGTGTGTTTTCCCATTACATACCTTCTCAGGGTTCAGTTTCAGTTCTTTAGCTATTGCTATGGCTAGTGATGCAAAGGCTTCATTAATTTCAAACAAGTCAACTTGCTCCAGCGTCCAACCTGCTTTATCAACCTAGGAGATAATATTTAATATTAACTGAAACGAGACTGGAGTTTAATGGCTTGTGGAGGGCCTTTGTCCCCTCACAACTTACACTGGTTTGTGACTAGAAAGTGTTGTGGCCTAACACTCTTTTCTGTAACTTGGCTCATTACCTACAAGGTTAGTGATTAATCTAGATGAGGCAAGAGTTACAGAAGAGTTTTCCAATATCCACTATACTTGATTACAAAATGTCACTCTGGGGCAGTTGTGAATGATTTCAGTAGCTCTACAGTAACCCCAGCTGCAAGCTGTTTGCCATAGGGCTCAGAGCCACCTGTGACAGAAGAGAGACGGAATTGTTGAGCTTCCTCTTCCAAGCTCCATTGGTATTCACTCTTTTCCAAGAATCTACCTGTAAATAGTGCTGTTAATAGAAATATAGCAGCACTAAGGGACATTTTATTTTAAAAAATGCCAGTTTTGACAGCCCTGCACATACTATATCCTGGATATTTGAAAATATTTTCTGCTGATATTTTAAGGGAGAAACAAACTTTACATGGGAAATAATTATATGGGCTGTGGAATGCTGTGAAATGCACAAACTGTTTTTAACTTGTTGGTTCTCTTAAAAGTTATCTTGGGTGTCATAACCACAGTAGGTCCAACATCCAGAAAAAGGGAGTTAAAAACATCCTGTTAAGACAAAAGCTTTTCCAACAGCCTCACTTAATTTCTAAACTCAGGGAAACTTGTTTTTTCCTGCTTCAAGAATCTCAAACTAGGAACAGGCCCTGGCATGTTTTACGGAAGCCCACCTCCCCAGTTTACCTTGCATCACTGTTGAATCTGCTTTGTCAGCAGAAAACATTTGCTGCAGTGGCATTTCAAAACCATTTGTATGCCTGCACCTCCTCGGAGTACACAATCAAGGCTCAGGACCCTATTTTACTAGGTATTGTCTAGACATTAATTAAAAGACTCCCTACTTCAAAGAACTTGCATCTCTTTAGGAACTACTCTGCTACTCCAGGGGTGGCCAAATTTTTTTGGCCCAAAGGCCACACCTGGGAATAGAAATTGTATGGCGGGTCATGAATGCTCACAAAATTGGGGTTGGAACGCGGGAGGGGGTGAGGGCTCCAGAAACGAGGAGTTCAGGGTGTGGGAGGGAGCTCCGAGCTGAGGTGGGCGAGTGGGGTGAGGGCTCCAGCCTGGGGTGTAGGCTCTGGGGTCGGGCTGGGGTTAAGGCGTTTGGGTGCAGCAGGGTGCTCCAGGCTGGGATCAAGGGGTTCAGAGGGCAGGAGGGGAATCAGGGCTGGGTCAGGGGTGCGGGGAGAGGCCGAAGTGTGCAGGTTCCAGGTGGCATTTACCTCAAGCGGCTCCCGGAAGCAGTGGCATGTCCATCCTCTGACTCCTACACGGAGGCGTGGCCAGGTGGCTCTGCGTGCTGCCCCCTCTGCAGGCACCACCCCTGCAGCTCCCACTGGAGCGCTGGAGGGGGGCCATGTTGCTGCTTCCGGAAGCTGCGTGGAGCAGCCCCCGACCCTGCTTCCTGGCTGGAGCTCAAGGGCCGACTTAAAATGGCTGGCAGGCCAGATCTGACTCACAGTTTGCCCACGCTTGTGGTACTGTAATGCTAATGCACGAGTGGCTTACAAGGTCCCCAAGCTGATATATTTACCAACTAGGCATAGTGACAGTTTAAACTTGTAATAATTACAATGAAAGGATCTGGAATGTGCTTGTTTTTCAGAATTTACTGAATGGCTATGAAGTGGTAGAGCCGGTTAACCCCTCAAAGCTGTTCATACACCGACAGTACTTTATTTGTGTTCTTGTTTCCGCAGCTTTAGTTTCCTTTTCCATTAAATATTACGCTTGGAGGGTGGGGTGAGAAAGTCAGACAGTAAAAGCCTCCATCGCTCAGTTCTGCAGGTTTCGAAGAGTTGAAATATGGAGTAAGAGGATGGTATACCCCAGATCTATCTACTTTGGAAAATAACAGACTTCACCTTCTGCAGCTCAACATCTCCCAGACACAGTTCTGACAGGGATGGGCTATTCTGCCTCCTGCCTGCACTCTCCAGAGGCAGTTCAAAGCTGTAACACAGCTCACGCTACCTACGCTCCCTTTTCTGGCCTGCTGTTGGATTTTCTGCCCTCAAGTGGTGGATTGCCTTGTGCCTGACTTTTCTTTGCCAATTTATTACACCTGTTTTTACAGGCAGTAGCGTGCAGATTTTCTTCTCCCTCCTGTATCAGTGGAGTGATCTCAGCTACCTGGAGCCAGTATCACAGTGCCTCCCTGCCCCCTTCTCAGGTATGGCAAAGGCATTGTGCAAACACTAAGCTAAATCCAAGCAGTGTTCTGTTTGGAAGGCAGCTTTCAGGCTCTTTGGAAGATGAACTGGGCCCTGCCTGTTCTCATTCAGTCAAACTTTGCACTGCCAGGGCACAGGGCTTTGAGTCAGACAGACATGTTGGGTTCCCACCCTTGCTCCAGGAAGCCATGGCACACAGAAAAGCCTGACCTGGAGATGCAGAATGGGGAGAGACTCCAAGCATGAGTTCAGCCACCCAGCTCAGGGTGAGTCCCAGGACAGAAAGAAAAACCCTCAAGGGGCACCAGGTCCTTGTCTCCTCCCAGCCCCAAAGTCTTAAAATGGGTCCTAAGTTCCGGAGGGAGAAAAGCAAGATTCATGCTCAGCTCCTTCCCAGCTCAAGTCGGGGAATTCCAACAATGAAGCCCCATCCCCCAAGCAAGGGGAGGCCATTAAGGGAGAGAGATCCAGAGAGCTCTGCATAAAGTAAGATGCAAAACGCCACAGATGAGCAGCGACACCTACAAAGTGGGCCAAAAAGTTCAAAAAGGAAAAGAAAAGGTTTAAAAAAAACCTGAGTCCCCTGACTCAAACACCTCCTAGATGGATCCAGCTATGCACTGTTGAGGCAAACCAGGCTCTACCAAACCAAGTGCTCCTGTTCCAGATGTATCACGGTGCACTCCAAAAGACCTACTGCAACTGCATAGAAAGGGCTTCTGCTTCCACTACAGAAATCTGCAAGGTAGCAACATGCCCATCAATTAAAACTTTTATCAGATGCTATGAAATGGACTTTCTCCAGTAATGGCATTGCCATTTTGGGAAGTTAACCCTGACGGGTCTTTCTCATAGCATTCTGTTTTTCTCAAGCCTCCCTACTTCTGTTCACTGCTCACTACTTCCCATATGTATCCAACCTGTGGAAGATACCGAGCTGCACAATGTTACATTTCCTTTCTGCTAGCAGTGTCTCCCACAATTCTACCCTCCCTGGGTGGCTTCCTAGCCAAGGGACAGTATTTAATTTTGAAAACTATGCTTATTGGCTGTAATCTACTGTACATCAGTTACTGGCTTTGAAGTCATTGTTACCAATCGTACTCAAGTTTTTACACCGCTTTGGAATGAATCATCTGGCAACAGCCCAGGAAAGGGGGCATGGCTAGCACATGCTCTGCTACAGCTTTGAACTGTCTTAATATATTACTTCATCCACCTTGTCTCTCTAATATCCTGGGACCAACATGGCTACAACCACTATATAACTAGGGAGGCTAACGGCATTTTGGGGTGTATAAGTAGGGGCACTGCCAGCAGATCGAGGGACATGATCGTTCCCGTCCATTCAACATTGGTGAGGCCTCATCTGGAGTACTGTGTCCAGTTTTGGGCCCCACACTACAAGAACGATGTGGAAAAATTGGAAAACATCCAGCAGAGGGCAACAAAAATGATTAGGGGACTGGAACACATGACTTATGAGGAGAGACTGAGGGAACTGGGATTGTTTAGTCTGCAGAAGAGAAGAACAAGGGGGGATTTGATAGCTGCTTTCAACTACCTAAAAGGGGGTTCCAAAGAGGATGGATCTAGACTGTTCTCAGTGGTAGCAGATGACAGAACAAGGAGTAATGGTCTCAAGTTGCAGTGGGGGAGGGTTAGGTTGGATATTAGGAAAAAAAATTTCACTAGGAGGATGGTGAAGCACTGGAATGCGTTACCTAGGGAGGTGGTGGAATCGCCTTCCTTCGAGGTTTTTAAGGTCAGGCTTGACAAAGCCCTGGCTGGGATGATTTAGTTGGGGATTGGTCCTGCTTTGAGCAGAGGGTTGGACTAGATGACCTCCTGAGGTCCCTTCCAACCCTGATATTCTATGAACTATATATATATATATATATATATAATGATTGTGGGAGACACTTCTAGCAGAAAGGAAATCATCAGGAAAGAAATTTACCTTTCCTGATATTTCTAAGAGGTTTTTTGTTTTTTTTTTTAAAAAGGCCATAAACCCAATTAAAGAGAACTTTGTTGTTCACCTTTAGAAGAGTTACTGTTAAGTTACAGCTTTGTGTATGACAATTTGGGAGGCATTCCATGAACTAGGCTCATTTCTACTTTTGACCCATTTATAAATTTCTCTGAAAATAACGATACAGATACTAGCCCTAGCAAAAAAGAATCAAAGCTTCACATGTCCTGCCTTTTGAAATCTTGTTTGTCATGGTCTCCATTATAGAATTGTTTGGTGCTACATTTTTGGCATTTCTTTGAGAAAAACTAAGATCTGGACAGTCAAAGGGAGACTTGTCTTAAACAAGTATTTCAAAGTGATCAGTAATTTTTCTTCTGATATTACTTACAGCTTTCTTTATTGCAGAGACAGGTCCTACTCCCATGATGGAAGGGTCTAAACCCACTTGAGCCCAAGACACAATTTGTGCTAAAGGAGTAAGACCTCTTCTAGCAGCTTCCGACTCCTTCATAAGAATTACAGCTGCAGCCCCATCATTCACACCTGCAGAACAGTGAACAATTGCTTTCAGTTTATTATTTTCAAACACCTAAAACTGTGATTGTGTTAGACTCTTCACAGGAAGCAGATGATGGGTCCCTCTCCTAAAGAGTTAGTCTAAATTATAGGTTTGACAAGCAAGACAGTACACAGGTTATAGATATCGAGGCTGGTGTAAGTCAGTGTAGCTCCACTGGTTTTGGTGGAGATATGACAGTTTACATCAGCAGGCTAAAGGTTACTCAGATTAGGTGCATACACACTTAGGTTGTGGGGGAAGTTATGTGATGTGTACTTTCTGTAAGTGATGCTGTGGAATCAAGGTTTTAATGAGAGAGCGGAAAGGAAAGGGTGGCAGCTGTGCTGAACAGATTTTGGAAGGACATGGTAAGCATAAGAGGCAGCATGGAAGACCACTGGGGTCCACTAGAGGGCCTGAAGAGGAATTCATTTTACATTTTTTGAAGTAGAAATACTAAGGTGTGGTGGGGGGTGCCCCACTCCCAAGCCAGATTGGGCTGCGCAGATGGACAGCCAATCAGGGAGGGCCTGTTAGAGAACCAATCAGGGCCAGGCTAGGCCCTATATAGAGGCTGCTCAGGCAAGAGGCAGGCAGTCTCTCCCAGACCTTTAAGGGAGAAGATCTGTCTCCTGAGTGAAGGAGACCAGTACTGGGGGGCTGAAGGGGAAGTGGCCCAGGGAGGAGAGGTGGATAAGAGGAGTGAAGGATGGCAGGGAGGCTGCTGCCAGAGGGTCCTTGGGCTGGGACCCAGAGTAGAGGGTGGTCCTGGGTCCCCCTCTTGTACTACACCTGGCCGTTAGAAGTGGCAACAGTGGACTGCGCCTGACCCGACAGAAGGGGTTAGACTTTGGGGATGTGGCTGGGGTGAAGAGAAAACACTTGGACTAGGGGGCACTGCTGGGGGGCAGTGTTCTGAGGAGGATGCTGTGAGAAGGGAGCAACGTGGTCTGGATGCCAACAGAGGGTGAGAGATGGATGGGACACCACCAGTGGATGGCGCTCCACATGGACTGAGCTAATTCCCAGAGTTACCAACTGGAGGCACTGCACTGGTGAGTCCAAACCACATCAAACAAGGTAAGGAAATGAAAAAAGGAGGAATACAGGAATTATCTAAATACAGTTAGACTAAGAAATAGAAGGATGGGGGACTAGGGAATGTGGACCCTGCTGAGATGTGTCAGTAATAAAAGCACCTCTGACTTCATGTCATGACAGGGTGTTGCAGGTTGAATTCTGGCATTGATGCAAAAATCAAGTCTCCGCTGCACAACATCTCTCAAAAGCAATATTTAGGGGAAAAAGCACACACGCATATGCAAGTTCTTACATGTGCACTTGAACTCAATGCTGTATTTCCTTGTACAATAGTACACATTGTAGATGTTGCAAACAAAATCCTGAGCTGCTTGCAATTGCTGGTCTGTGGCATTTTGTTTTACCCATCTACAAACCTGAGGCATTAGCTGCAGTTACTGTCCCAGTTCCATCGGTCAGAAAGCAAGGCTTTAACTTTGCTACAGTTTCCAAGGTGCTTCCATGGCGAGGATGCTCATCTGTTTTAACTTCTACAAGACCTGCAAAATGGTCAGACATGAACTTGAGATAAATTCTATGCAATTTTGCACTTGTAAAAGGGTTCTAAATGGAGAAAAATAGCCTCTAGAATAAAGACTACAGAGAGTAACTTTTAAGTAGTGACCACTCAGGAATATATTACACGTAACTGGGAAGGGATGTATTTAATTTTTCCAGTTCATAGCTGTCAGGGTTATAACAATAATACACAAGAACTTCAAGTTAGCCCCATAATCTCTTATTCCTTTAGAGGCCTATCTCCTTCCAGGTGCTGGTAGCAGTATGTATAACTACTTTACATCTGAGCTTTTGGAAACAAGCCCCAATGGCTAAATTTGCCTGCCTGTTCAAAAGCAATTCTCCTATCTGCTATTCCCCAACCATTCCTCTGCTAGGAAGGCTCTTTTGGGAATGGATACTTATCGGGCTCTTATTTGAGAGAGTCAAGTCACAATATTATCCAGAAGCCTTCCCTGGTTCAGCTTGGGTTTTTTCTTCCTCCGTTAACTACAAGGTCAGTAAAAGATCACATATGATGCCATTAAGCTAACTCCAAAGCTATTTGACCAAGTCCATTAAGAGCAAAGAAAAGCTATTGGAGTTCTTCAACGGACTAATGAATCTAGGGAGTGAGTTTAGCACAAAAGATGTGGAACTCTCTCCACTCCCCACCCAAAAGTGGATCCTGGAATCACTCAACTATCAAAGGGCCTACCTATACAAAGAAAGGCACCCCAAGACTTTAAATTTTAAAAAAAACCAAAAAAAACCTGACAGACAAGATTAAGAAGCTGGCAGGCTTTGAAAAAATCTATAAGCTACTGAGTATAACAGAATGACTCTAGGTTATTTTCACTATGTCTTTCACCAGTGAGGGAGGTTTATGCACCAAATATCATGGTGAGCTTGAACATGTTTTAAACTTAGCATAATATGGGTCTAATGTAACTCAGGACCTGATTCTACAGCTGGCTACATGTGGGCAGGAGCACCATTGAAGTCGGGTCCACCTACAAAGAAGGGGTGGTAGGATCAGTAACATAACTATATTTCATATACTTGCTGAGTTAAATTTGGAAATTCTGAAACATCAGTGTTCTTCCACCTTCTCTCTCTTTTTAGGAAAAAAAAATGGGGGAAGCCTTACCCATTGTTAAAGATTGAAAAGAGGAGCCCTCCTGCCTGTAAAATAGGCTTTTCCACAAAGACACCATTCATTAAATAAATAAAAGCTGGCATTGGAATATCTGGTACTGACTATCCATTATAATTAATTACACACACACACCTACCTTTCCTAGAAGGCACAAGGACAGAAACAATCTCTTTATCAAAGTAGCCAGCTTTCTGTGCACCCTCTGCCTTTTTCTGTGACTGTACAGCAAGTTGGTCTTGTTCCCTTCTGCTAACTTGCCATTGCTTTGCCACATTTTCAGCTGAAACAAAGCAAAAATACCAGTTTGAAGAAAAAATTCAATCATTTACTCTTAACCGCAAGTTTGCTAGGTTTTAAGTTAAAATTCCAGCATGCCAATCAGACAATGTTTGCTGGTAGTAGCCTGTAGGTTAAGCTTACAGAACAGTGTTCGTTCTGAGCTCCTGTTTTCACTCTCTCATGACTTTCTGCTACATTCACGTTTTGGGGCTGAACATTTCCATATTTGATCTCCATCCAGAGTTGCTTTAAAAGTTTTTTGAGCAAGCAAAATCAAGTATTCATTATTGCTCTGGACAGTTGTGTTCAAATATCTCTGCAGCAATTGTATATTGGAAAGACTGTACTGTAGATACACTAACCTCATAAAATCAGAGGTTGAAGACTCATTACCCCTTTCAGTGCAGAACTGTTTCCTACACATTCATACATGTTCTCCAGTATTCTGTCCTTGCACTTAAAAGTTTGGGGAAAAGCAATTTAAAATTTGAATTCGCAGAGATTAATTTCAGATAATTCTTTGCAACAGATATCACTATCTGATGTACAGTATTATGGGACAAAATGCTGAAGACAGAAATAGATAAGGCAGACCAAAAAAAAATTCCCCTCTCTTCCCCCCCAACTGACTGTTAGCTCAGATAGTATCCTTTCCAAGTCAATTTTGTAATATGGTAACACGCAAAAGGGAAAATCAATGTGAACTTGTAGATATAGTCAATTTCTTAACTTCTATTACCTTGACGTATATTTGAATCGCACTTTAAAGTTTCCAGAATCTGTTTATACTGCACTCCCACCCCCTTGCTAATTTACAATTAACTTTTCAGAACTAGAGTAAATGGTGGATTCTCTGTAACTTTAAATCTTTAAATCAAGATTTAAAGACTTCTGTAGTAAGGCCATAACCTCTGGCTGAGTTACTGGAGTGGCTGCATGAGGTTCTGTGGCCTGTAATGTGCAGAAGGGCACATTATCTAATCATGATGATCCCTTCTAACCTTAAAGTCTGAGTCTAACTGCTACTACTTACCTGTTATACCCATGTGATACTGGCAAAATGCATCTGTAAGACCATCACAGATAATACTGTCCTGCAATGAGGCCTCCCCCATTTTCACTCCAGCTCGCATATGAACTAAGTGAGGAGCCTGTAGATAAGATATTGAGAGAAATGTAGAAGTCTCAATGGTACAGTTAGTTCTTCCCAGCAAAGCCCCATCTCCCATCCAATCACTTCATCAAAAAGTCTGACTTTGATCTGATGGCCAAAAGGAATCCTCTCCAGCTTAATGAATAAAAGGCCTGCAGAATAACCAGCAGACAAGGGGCCACCCATTAGTTTTGGGTTATTTCCAACCATCAAGTGAACTCTCTCATTCCAAGGTTTTCAATCTGAAAGTGAGTCAGCAGAAAGCACTGGGTGGCCCAGCCAACACCTACCCTTGGAGAACAGACAGCTCACATATGAGGAAAAGTAGTCTTCAGACTACTCCTGCACCTGGGCCTCCTGCAGAGCAAGCAGCAATACTGCCTTTGCCTGTCTTGCTGGGAGTAAACCACTCACTGTCAGGGTGATGGAGGGAAATTAATAGGCTTGAATTAAAACAGTGTAATCGGTCTTGTCTCCAAGGTTTCCATTCCCTCTCTATTTAAGCCAGATGTTGCATTTATAACTATTGCCAACTAAAAACGTTTAGAAATTTAAGACACTCTAAATTCATCCCCAGAGCACGGACATGGAGAAATAAGCAATTTCATCAGAATTTACAAAGTTCTTAATCTGTTTTCTTATAATCACTCCAAATACATCCCCACCACCAAAAACTATTTGTCAGTATCTACCATCCTAAATAGTAAAGTTAAAAAAAGAAAAAAGGTTGTCAAGAAGTCTAGTTTCAGTTCAGAAGGATTCATTCTGATCAATCAGGGTTCATATCAGCACTAGTTTAATTTCTACTCACTAAGATTCCAGATGGTCCCATTTAAGTCATATTACTCAGGTGAGTAAGAGTTGCAGGACTGGGCCCTAAGGATCTGATCTACAGCCCAACAAAATCAGTGAAAAGATTCCCATTGATTACAATGGGCTTTGGATTGGGCCTTAAGTGAATCTCCCTTTGAATTTCCTCTTGCTAGATTTTAAGCAGGAACACTCAATAGATACATCAATAGCGTACACAATATTTTCATATCCCATGCAGTCTCATAACACGGTCAGATCTATAATACTAAAATTCCTAAATCACATTTTGAATTTCAGTAAAGGGTTAATCCAAGTTAAGGACCACTACAACTATATCCTGACTTTCATTTTATATCATTCATTATATATGAATGCTTAATAGATTTCATCTAGAAATAGTCTCACTAGAGGAGAAAAAGGTTGCTCAAATGGAAAGTTGGATACTAATGAAGGTGAAGAAATCCATGACAGTTTTGAAATTTCAAAAGAAGAATTTAAAGACAACTCTGCCTCTACCACTAAAGAGGTATTGGTTAGTGGAAGAGGACAAACGCAACAGATCTAGTAAAGAGAAGTCTACAAAAGTAGTAACTTTTTAAACTAAGTTTAGGCTGCAATGGAAAAACAAAAATCTCAAACAAAGAAGAACAAATACATAGACCAATTCCACACAGTTACTCACTTGCAACTCCAGCTGAGCTCATTAAGAGTTCCAGGTGCCCAAAAAACAAAGGAACAGTCCAAAACATTTTCCTACCAGATTATTCAAGTTTTAAAATCCAATAGTAAACCTGAAGTCACGAGTAACCCTTTGTTATTGCCAAAAGGGACTATAGCCTCACCTTGCTCATGCTTTCCATGCCTCCTGCCACCACAATGCTGGAATCTCCTGTCAATATGGACTGAGCCCCCAAACATATTGCTTTCAGGCCTGAGCCACATATCATCTGACAGCCCCAAGATGGTACAGCATATGGGATTCCTGCACCAACACTGGCCTGTCGTACAGGATTCTGACCAGCACCTGCAAGAATTAGATATGAACAAGTGCAGAGTGGGGGAGGGATAGCTCAGTAGTTTGAGCATTGGCCTGCTAAACCCAGGGTTGTGAGCTCAATCCTTGAGGGGGCCATTTAGGGATCTGGGGCAAAAATAAGGGACAGTACTAGGTCCTGCTGTGAAGGCAGGAGACTGGACTCTATGACCTTTCAAGGTCCCTTCCAGCTCTGAGATAGCTTACTTACCTCTGTTTAATATGGAGATAGGTCTAACACATACATTCTGCTACTCATGAAGTGACAGCCAGATTCCCCCCACATTTTAGAGTTCATTCCCAGTGATGAATGGCAGTTAAGAGGGGTTATCTAATTAAGCTTCTACTGGGTGAGAGGAAAAAAATTACAAGGGCATTTTTTTGCAAATGGAATAACTCATGGGAGTTCTCCTGCTTTCTGACACCAGAGTGTCTTGCTCACATGACTTTCCTGGTTAGAAATGAAGAGCACCCTTCCAAGTGGGATTCTGTAGTTGCCTAAAGTAATTTCTCAGCTAAGGTTTGTGCATGGGGTGTGTGTGTGTGGTTTTTTTTTTTAAAAGAACCCTCACACACAGCTTAATTTGAGTGATAGCACATCCATCACAACATGCTTTAGGGATTTGTTGCAATCTCCTCCCATGCCCTGGTGTTGTGATTCCCTTTGAAGAACTCACAGCAGAGCAGACAGAAAACCAACTCTATTCTACAGTGTGCTGCTGCGGTCTTTGTCAGAGGGCTTTACCTGCACTACAGGCACAAGAGTCAGGGGAACCAGTTGCCGTTTATAACAGACAGGACCTTTCCCATATTTGTATGTAATATCACTGTATTAATCTTTGGATATGACCGTTTTATTTGCTATTTGTAGTAAAGACCAGTAAAAGATTTGCAAAAATAGATATTTCCCCAATTTGCTGTAAATTCATATTTACAATCCTGCTTTCCATTGGTTACAAATTTCAAGCAAATGTGACTTGACTAAACTAGTACTTTTCTGAAACTAAACAGACATTGGTCATTTTATTTATTACTAGATCAAACTTCTTGGATATTCTACACAACAGTTAAGAATGACCACATATTACCCTATACCCCTTAGGAAATGGATAAAGCTCAAGCATATAGCAAGAGTCATAAAAGCTTTCATTCTGTAACCTCTGACAGAACTGAAGTATTGCATATTACAGAAAACATTCTTCAACTCCATGTCTCCAGGCCAAAGCAGTGCCTGCTCTTTTGTATAGAAGCCACTAGTAAAAAGAGTGGGCACACCCTTCATTTAATTACATAATATAGGAGGCAAAGAATTGAGCTCTAGTTTAAAATATACCGATAAAGGCATGTGCATTAGTATTTATATTTCAAATAACCCAAAGCCATGTAATGTTCTAGTTAAGAAGCCATTAAAATGGTTGTCTTCTTTAACAGATGCATTTCCATCAGATCAAAATAAACTGAGGTTTCTCTTAACACAGGGATTATTTCCACAGCTTCACAAGTGTATATACTGCATTACAGATACAATACAGCTCTTTGCCCTGAGGACTTTCCAGTTAAAGTCAGACTTAACATGGCAAGCAATGATTAAGGAGAGACAAGGGAGACAGGAGAGGAGGCTGCTTACAACAGTGAAAGATCAGTCTGTGGTTAGTGTTACGTACCCACTTTGTTAGTTCCTCTTTGGATTAAAAGAAAGTAAGTTAGATATCTATGGCTTTATGCAGTGTCCAGAATGAAGGTTGGGGTTTAAGTCAGGATCTGCTTTCTTCAGTCCTTAAATACCAACAATGTTAATATTCTTAAAATGAAATTTTAAAATTTCAACATTTCAATGGAACAGTAAAATAGGGACTTGATATTTGATGGGATTTGTTCTCTGCTATACAATCATAGTCTCTCATCGTAAAACTAAAGGAAAAAACTTTTATTTCCAATTCCTTTTCGTACAAGTGTTTGAGGAAGGAATTTAAAAAATACCTGCTGTCAAGACTTGTCCAAATATAACCTCAGACACTTCTTCCGGATTGACATTTGCCCTCTTCAATACTTCTTTAATGACAATAGAGCCCAGCTCATGGGCATGCATTGTGGACAAGGCACCATTAAAGGAACCTACATAAAAAACCAAACAATTAGATTTTTATGTCAGTGTCATCATACTTTTTTTTTTTTTAAACCTCATGACTCCAAAAAAGATTCTGAGGAAAATATTGCCCAAGATTTCACTTCTCGACTTGAGAGAGAATGAATTAGTTTTTGCCTTTAGGATTCATTTTGCTCCTTCTCACTTCAGTCAATGAAGGAGGAAAAGAACACGGGAAATAAAACATCTGGTTTACAATGATCAGAGCAATACAACAAAGAACAGAAGGAACTCAAGGGTGATATTCAACAACTAGTACCATTATCTGATCTAGTCTACTCTACATTTTAAGACACCATACATCAGCAGAATATCTGAATTATTTACCTGAAAAAGGGCCTTTCTAAACCCATGTTTAGTTCTGCCTAGTGTTATTTAGAAGTACTATAGTGCTGTGGTGTGTTAAAGTCTATCATGCCTTTCTTTTGGTTAATTCTTTGAGGGGGAGCTGAAGTTGTGGGGAAAAATATCATTTCAAATGAATACTATGTTTCGGGGGGGGGGGAAGGAGGGAGGGAATACAATTTCTAGACTGGGGGGCGGGGAGGGAGTGTCCTGGGATCACCATGTGATCCAGCCACAAATTTTGTAGGCAGCTTAAAATGTAATTATATGACCTAAATATCAGCAAACCATAAAATACTCTACTAGGTTACCATTCCTTACTGCAAAAGGAAAAGGAGTACTATTTGTTAGCCTCTAAGGTGCCACAAGTACTCCTTTTCTTTTTGCAGATACAGACTAACATGGCTGCTACGCTGTGTCCTTAGAATCCCCTACACATATACCCCAACTAGTTCTATTTAGGGATTGCAGTCTACTTTGTTTATAATATTTTTCTCTCTCAAAAAAAAGGAGATGGCGGGGGGGAGGGGAAGGGGAAGGAATCATTAGACTTTTACAGTTTACATTCTATTTGGAAAAAATCTTTAATCCACCCAGGACAGGAAGGAGAAGTGGCTGGTATACACATTTTTATGTTTTTTTTATTATTCTGTCCAATATAGATTAGTTTTGAATTCATTAGCCACACTTGTATCACCTCTCCCATCAGTACCGTGGAGGGGAAAGAATGTTCCCTCAAAAAACTACTTATTAACAATATAATGGTGCAGGAGTCAGAGAGAACACAAGATAAAATCATCATAAATATTTATGAAGTAGTGGTCAAGGATATTCTAGACAGACTGGACACACTTTATCCCAGTTTACCAATACCTTAAACAAATGGCTATGGGTAACCTAACATTCTAAGATTAGCCTAGAACAAGCATAAGAAAACAGATCTTACCAAGAGGATAAAGGTCAAGTCACCTATCCCCACCCACATGTGCCCCTGACACTGCCTCCTTCACAGGAGGCATTTCATTGAAATGAGAAAGCCCTTGTTCTTCTCTGTAAGTGTTTTCGTTTATACCTCTCAACATACCAGCCAGTATTTATATGCATGCTACCCACATCCTTGAAGCTTTGCATCATGTTTACCTTACAGGCCTTCCCCCTCCAGAAAGTGCTGGCCTCAGGCCGAACGAAGAGGGATTGTTTGCTTTCTCTTTAATAAAAAGAAAAGGAGTACTTGTGGCACCTTAGAGACTAACCAAAACTAAGGTGCCACAAGTACTCCTTTTCTTTTTGCGGATACAGACTAACACGGCTGTTCCTCTGAAACCTTTCTCTTTAATACAAACCACACGCTAAACAAAAGGAACCTGAATGAACACATCGGCTCCTCCTCTTTGGACCCCCTGAAGCTACTGAATGAGAGGCGTTCCAGCGCCTCGGGCCGCAGCTTATGGTTCTACCGTGCGCAACCCAATCGGAGCAAGAGCAACCCTCGAGCAGGCCGGCTAAGCAATCGCCAAACCGCCTCACAGAGTGGCTCTATCGCTTCTGCCCAATCAGTGCGAGGCAAGCGCAGGGCCTGGGTGGAGTCTCCCTGCGCCCACAGCGATGGCCCGACGCCGCTGCAAGCAGGGCCGGCTCTAGGGAAGCTGGTGCCGGGGCGGCACTCCGGGTTTTTTTATTTTGTTTTTCGTTTTCCCTTCCTCGGCGGCAGCTTTTTCATCTCCTCTTCTTCGGCGGTCGCTCACCCCCCCCCCCCCGCCTTCGCTGCTTGGGGCGGCAAAAAAGGTAGAGCCGGTCCTGGCTGCAAGGAGGGGAGCGAGCCGGGGAGCGAGCCAATCAGCAGCCGCATCAGCAGCCTTCTCCCCCAGCCCCATTCACAGAAATAAGAGTAGCAAAGGATATTGCGCGCCTATAGCACCCTCCGTGTCGAAGGCTCCCCAAGCACCCTGTAACCTATGGGCAGCACGTGCCTGGAGTGCCCCAGAAACACACCCAACCTGGCTGGTGGGAGGGGGCAACAAAGCCGCACAGCACGCATCCACCCACCCAAACAGTGCAGAAAGAGGAGCCCCCCCCGCGCAATCACACACGCGTGCAAGAGCACGCGGGGGCCCCGCTGCCATCCGCAGCCACTGGCTCAACGCCCCATCTCCCCCGCCACCAGCCGCTGCAGGGCGCAGCGGGAAGGGATGGCTGCGCCGCACCATGGAGCCGCTTACCAACGGGGGTTCTTGCCGCGGAAACAAGCACCACCGCTTCCGAGCCTTGCGCGCTCATGCTGGCGACAGCCGGACTCCCAGCGCGCACCAGCCCCGCTCCCGCCCCGCGGCTGGCCCGCCCGGCTCGGAGACTGATCTTCCAGTTTCTCTCCCTCCCAACCACCTTCGGCAGGGAGGCGCTAGCCTCGGGAAGCAGGCGCATCACATGACAGACACGGGGGAGGAGTGTTGCCATTGGACAGGCCACGTGACCTTCTCCCTTGTTTTTCCAAAGAGAGGCTGAGTTGCCCTAGGGCAGGGGGTGCCCAGTTCATGGCCTCCTAGGGCAGGGCCAGTCTGCACCACAGATAAAACTGACTTAGGGAGCCTCCTGATTGCTGACGCCATCCTTAAAAGCTGTAGCGTGGGCTGGACCTATTTGGATTGCAGACAGCACTTCAGCCTTGCTACCAGGGACACAATCCTGTTCCATCTATGCTACAGTTAAATATAACACTGGCGTGATTATATTTAAGTGTAACATAGGCCCACACATGCCATATTGGCAACTCCAGTATTAATAATCAGGAGTCAGGCCCCCAAAAGGGAGGAGATATGATTTTTAAGCCAGAGATTTAAACAAAAATACTAAATGGTGGTTTCTTTTGTCTACTATTTTTTTCAGCTTTTAGGGTTCACATTTTCAAGCTTTTCTCCACAACCATAAAGGCTTTAGGCTTTTTTTTTCTCCTCAGTGAAAGTTAACCTTCTCATATAATCACTTGATGCTTGGGGCTGAGACAAAACACCAAATATCATGAAATTTGTAATAAAAAGACACAGTTTAGGATGCAATTCTGTCTGCGTCCATTCCAGCACTGTACTGTATCATTGCAGTTGTAGTGGCTTTTGGGTACTAATCCCTGTTCCTGAAACACTCCCTGAAGTAGTGGCCTCTCGGAGATTTAGAATGACCTCCTGGGAGCACAGGGAATTGTAAGGAAAAAGAGGTAACATTCTCCTAATTTGAAGGGCCACTCCAATAAGCTTCCAGGCACTAGTATAATTTCCAAGTCTTTTTCTCAAAACAGTGGCTAAAGTAAATACTCAAAGATCCACAAAGGTATTTAGGCCCCTAACATTCACTGAAATTACTGTGAAATCTGATTCCACTCTGAAATCAGTGGACGTTAGAAGCCTAAATACCTTTGAGGATCTGGGCTTTGGTTCTCACTCTTTGCTCAGCAGAGAATATTTTTGCTATATCTTTTGAAAAGTAATTGTGAGGCACTGGGGGCAGCTTTGGCAAGATGGCTGAGTGTGTTCTAGCAATGTCTGTTGACGGCCACAGACCAATCATATGTCTACACTGCAAAATTATGTCGACCTAAGTTACAGCGATGTACTGCCACCGCAGTAATTAAATGGCTTTTGTATGTCCACACTATGCTTCTTGTGTCAGTGGTGTGCATCCTCACCAGAAGCACTTGCACCGATTTAACTGTCAACGTGGGACATTGTGGGATGGCTTCTGAAAGGCAGCAACAGTAGATGTAAGCAACGCAGTGTCTACTCTGAGTCAACCTAACTACATCAACATTGACTCTATGCCTCTCATGGAGGTGGAGTTATTAAGTCAATGTAGTGGGTGAGTTATCAGCAGGAGCAACATTTTAGTGTAGACGCTCAGAGTTAGGTCAACGTAAGGCAACTTACATCAACTTATCTCTGTAGTGTAGACCAGGCCCAGATAGTTAGCAGTTGTTGCTGTAATGTCAAGCACAACTACCTAAGGAGGAGTTTTCTCCATGTACTATTTGAGGATGATGTTCACTAGGGGGAGTGTCCCTTTTGATCCTGGACTACAACCCCAGACTAGCAGGACCAGGGTGTTGTCAAGATCTGGGACAAGCAATCGTAAATGCATAACTTCAAAATAAGAAATGACAATTTTTTATGCCTCTGGTGATGTTGCAAGACCAGACCACAAGGTTGAGGAAAAGAGTGGCCAGTTGCCCTGTCGAAGCTGCCTGCTCAAATATTTATTGGTCAGCTGAGTGGGTACCAGTTTGGGACTGAAGTCTCCAGTGGGTGCTGTTATTGTGGCTGTGTGCACAGCTGTTCATCTTACGTTGCAGGTACTTATGATCGAGGTCGCAAATGTTGAAGAGATTCAGGTATTTAAATAATTTGGCTTTTCAAACGCTGCAGGAGCTATTCGTGTAACTCATGTGCCCATAGTGCCCCGAGGTAGATCAAGAGAAAAGATTATGAATCAATGGTGGCATAAGCATTAGTAGATAATCATGGCATGTTTCTGGAAGTTTACACAGGGTGGTCAGGCAAAGTGCACAACGCTAGAATTTTCAAAAAATTTAAGTGTGTATAGATGGAAACTTTCTACCTTTCATCCCCAACATCATCAACATTAATGGTGTTTCCCTCCCCATTATGTTCTGAGTGACCCTGCCTGCCCACATTTGCTATGGTTCAGGAAATTATTTCCAGATGATACAAACATAGAGGTATGCCCAGTCAACTATTCAAGTGGCAGATGGTGGTGGATTGTGCTCCTGGGAGACTGATTTCAATCCCTAGTTTAAAGTAGCCCAGATATCTGTACCTTTCTCTCTAGCCAAACGCTGGTAAGTGGGGGAAATGAAATGTAGGGCTGAGGTGGAAACAGACATTAAAAACTTCTCCTTGTGAACTGCTCTTGTAGCAGTTCTTGCTGGTTGTCTAATTACTTTCAGATCTCATTTTATATGGAAAACCCTAACCTAACATTTGTTTAGCCCAGCCTCATGTTGTTCCAAACTCTCACTTTTTTTTTTACAATTGAAAGTGAGTATGTCAAGTGACCTTGAAACAACAGGCTGCAGCTGGGTTTATAGGAGAGCAGTTGTCCACAGAGCCCAGATAATTGGAAAAAATCATACATTAGGTTAAATCAATGTATTTAACACTTCTCTACTATTTATGTTAAAATCCTATTGGTTATTTTAATCCATTATTACCAACCCCTTTGATCTGTTAGGTATCTCTACCATGATCATTTTACATGGTGGAAGCATAATGGGGGGGTAACATATGGAGTGATATGCTGTTACAGATGAGGGATTCCTCTTTAATCCTATACAAACAAGCATCAAGCAGAATATTTGGGGGTGATGCCTCTGCTCGAGAAGAATGGAGATATTACTGGGAAGCCAGGTGATGTGTGTGAGCAAGAGGGAGTTCAGAGGAGGGGAAAGTGATCGAGATGAAGAAAGGAAAAGGGACAGAACAAAGGAAGGAACCTACAGAGCAAGGGAGAGAAAGGGAGAGCAGAGAAAGACAGATGGACAGACGACCACCTGAGCAGATCCGTGCCCTCTCTCTCACTGAGATGCCAGAGCCCCTGCCAACAGGCCTGCACAAGAGGTATCTGACACTGCTGACATGCCAATTAGGGCGCAGTACAACACTGAAATTTGCCAGCTCCAGGAGAAGACCAGAAAAGTTGACATGACTCAATTTATCTAGCATCCTAGGAGAGCTGGGGATTATATTTTTACCTATATATTTAAGTATTGTATTTTGGGGGGCAAATGCAATCCCAGAGAAGTATGAATGAGCTAAAAAGATGGGTGACAACATACCCTAGCATGATGACAAGTAGATAGGACATGAGAGAGCATATGCAACAAAAGTTTACTGATGGTCATGTACTGCCTATTGCGTAATGTGCACTTGGTGGTGGTTAACCTGCATGTGTAACCTGTATTTGGACTCTCTGTGTGGAGGCACAGGGTAAGAGCAGCAACATTACCACTGCCTTCCATGCACTTGTTCCTAACATAATCTCATTTATAATGCAAAGGAAGCCATGGAGCTAATATACAGGAAAATACAACACTCCAGTTACATAGATGATGAAGATGGTTGGCATGGACTCTCACAGGAGCCTGATTTCATCAGTAATCAGGATAGACCAGGCTGGACAGTAAAACTGTGACAATCACAATGGGGAATGCTCCTCACATATTCTGGTCTGGTTGGAGGAACACTGCAACTGAAGGAACCACACTATACAAGAAAGCTTCAGCTACTCTTGGGTTTCTAGCTCTTGAAAGGGGAAGAAGTGTTCCCAGTCTCTTTGGGTTCAGTATACAAGTTGTACGAGGAAGCCAGACAAATCCCTTGAGCAACAGAATCCATTGGGTGGGCAGAGAGGAAGGCATACCATATGCTCCCAAGCAGCTAAAGATTGAAAATATGAAGGGTTCAAGGTACAACAGCTCTTCCTTCAGGTGCTTCCTCCTTGTCATAGAACCCCCCCCTCACCGACCATCTTGGACGGGCCACCTAGTCCTTTAACAATGATCTGTTTAAATTTGAAAAAAAAAATGTATTTCAGTTTGGGGTCCTTTAAAAGACCTGATCAATAAGCAATTATTATGTCTACCATCAGATAAGGGAGAATTATGATTATATACTTTTATGCCAAACAGGGTAGATAACCTTGGAAAAAAATCCATATAATTCCTGAGACACCATAGCATCTGCAGCACGAAGTTGTCTTCAACATCTTTTTACAGACCAAGAGGGAATGACTAATGTGGACATTTAAGGGTAGCACATCACTGATGCTATACCCATGCTAACATGATCATTACTATAATTAGTAATTGATTAATTATTAATTTGAGGCATCACTGCAGGTGCACAATCTACATTCAATTTAAGATGAGCTTCTGGTGGTATTAAATGTTATTTTTAGGAGTGCAAAGTCCAGAGAGGGCAGTAAATCAACAGGACTGCTCACCCCAGTAAGCTAGCCTGCTGCAATATTTTTCTTCTAGCTGCAAGCAACAAAATTGTTTGACAGCCAGAACAGAGAAAGTTACAACAGTCAAGACGTGATACAACAAGGGTCTCAGTGGTAATGGTGAGAAGTTGGTGAATTTTATAAAAGCATTCCTACCGAACTTGCAATGTCCTAACTAACTCTGATCAGAAAATGGCCAGGATGGGACCCAAATTCATAAAAGCAATGCTCAAAAGAACATAGCAATTGCATAAGACAATTATGAAAAAGGTAGGTTACAGATCAGAATAAGTCAAACTGCATACAAGTGATACAAAAAAAGTACATTCAGCAGTTTGGCAAGTTGTGCTTTGGA